AGAGTTAAGTGCGAACCTGCAAGCCTTGTGAAAAAGTGTTGAATGATCTGATCCTGTAGGTGGGCCTTTGATCAGAGACAGCTTTGGTTTGTTTGTTTGCTGTCCCTCCTTCGCACCCTTTGATGTCGGCAGCGGTATTGAAAGAGAAAGCGCTTCAAACCCGATCATATTGCTGTTTGGTGTTTTCTCAGAACTCCTTCTGTGGAACATCAATGTGCTTCCCCTGCCAAGACACCTCGACTGCAAAACAAGAGTTGGTTCAGGAGATATGGAAGTCCCGTAGCCCCAGATTCCCTTGCGTTGGCTGGGGAGTTGGTGACCTCGCGACCCTGTTTGATCCCAGGGCAGTGGAGGGTAACTCTTTCAGTTGGCACTTTGTGATATATTAGGCCAGTCCCCATCACGGAGCAGGAATGCAGTGCTGTGATCTGCAGTCAGGGGATCAGGCAGCTTGTGGAATCCCATGGGATGAGGTGTTGCTGAAGCTCCTCGCTGGGCCGCTCGACAGAGGCAAACGGATGCCGTTTCCTGAGGCAAGCCAAAACACGGCTTCAGAAAGGGTTGGTCACAGTGTGGACTTTCCAGGGGTGGAGGCTCACTCACAGAGCTGCCACCTGACCCCACAGAATAGTAACTGGCAATGAACTGGTGATGGGCAGGACAGGGTGACCCAGTTATTAAGAGCACGGGTTCACTCATGACGCAGGTGACCTATGGACATGCATTTACTGTCATGTAGCACCTGGCAGTCTATATAACTGCTTTGCCCTGTATCATCTTTTGATATTCTCTTCTTCACGGTGTATCATGTCAGGTGTCAGCCCGGCTTAGTTGGCAGCGTTTTCGCCTCTGGGTCAGAAGGCCGTGGGTTCAATCCCTGCATCGAGACTTTAAGCTCAGAGTCCTGGGGCCTCAAGCGCTGGCTGCATTGTCAAGAGGGCCATCGATCAGATTAGCTGTTAAACCGCTCGTTGCATTTGTCTGTTCAGGTGGTCGTTAAAGATCCCAAGACATGATTTGGGGGGGAAAAAAAAGGGGGTAAATTCAGAAACACTACTTCAGTGAGCGAGCAGTAAACTTATGGAACAGGCTCCCTAAGGAGACAGACGATGGGAGCAGAAAATGTCATCACTTTCAAGAACAAATTAGATAGATTTCTGCTACAAAATAATATCTCGGGGATACAGCAACAACAACAAGATTACATTTGTATAGTTTATATGTACAGTATATAGTTTGGGACTCGACATGTCAAGCGACTGCCAGGATGGTGGAAGGCAAACTAGATGGATCTTGGTCTTCTGTCGCCCAGCAACTTCTTATGTTCTTATGAAAAGAGAAGGAAGTTTTGCAGCGATCTGTCAACAATCCCTCAGACACGCCATCATAATTGGTGATTCATTTTGTGGCTGTTTATAGGACACTGTTGGGCACAAATACGCAATCACTACACTTAAGTTTTTAAGATATTGCTGGGGCAATTTTGTGCTATCGGAGGAGGAATGTCAGCTCTCGGGAATAGAATACGTTATTACATTTTAGAGCTGCTTTCGACATCAAGCAGTTAGGCCAAGAAAAGTATGCTCATTAAAACTCCCTCTGGACTATCTCAAAATAGGCAATAACTGCAACGTCAGAACAATCCCCTCTTTAATAGGACGTCCAGTACCCGACTCTTTAAAGAACATCCAGTATCTGACTCTTAAAGGAACATCCAGTAAGTCTCGGAGCTGAGTAAGTGTTGAGCAATTTTTTCTCAATCATGCACTTCAGTTTTCACTAGGTTTAAACACAATGGCACAGAAAATGTCTGCTGCATCCCATTCCTCATCTCTTGCATATCACTTAACATGGGCAAAGTAACCAATGTTACCCAACTCGGACGAATCAAAGGAGATTAAGATTTTCTGTTTACATCTTTGAAAACCTTTCTACGGTTCCTCTGGAATCTCGGTCTGTGCCAGGGTCAGGCTTGAGAAGTAGATTCCAGAAACGCAGTTCAATGCTGGGGCAGAGCTTACTGCAAGTACCATTGTCACTGATCAGATCGACAACTTGCATTTCATTTGCCATTGGATCGAGCAGTCAGTGAATGGGCATTTCTGCTTTACAAATGCTTTGAGAAAACAGTGCCATCGACCATTAAAGGGTTAACGAGGTGCCCCACTGGACATTTGTCCCTTCACTATCATTACATGGCCTGCGAAGTCTGTGAAGGCCGTGGGGTGGGGGGATGTTACAGGAATGCTTTCGTTATAGTAACTGAGCAACAATCTTCTAAAGATGTAATAAAAGTACCTCAAGTGTAAAGAGGCGCTTTGATCAGGGCTTTGTAAGTCCAAAGAAGAAAGAAAATCCCTGACTTTAATCCTGTGAATGGGAATTGAAAAGTTTAGGTTGATCATTAGCTCTGTTGGGCGAGCACATCAATGCATGGTCCCGAGAAAGGAAGAGAGTGGTGGGTGGGGTAATGAATGCAATTCAAAACGTACATGTGCATGAATAGCATATCCATTAGGGCTACTAAGCGCATCACATACTGCAAAGATGCATATCACATCCTCTGTTGCTTTACACATAGACGCACGGTTGGACATGTGATTAACGTATTTTTTTCCCCTCTCTCAAATTCCTCCTAGTTTGTAGAAATCAGTCATTTTAGTCTTGTGAAAAATAAAATCACAGTCCCCAAAAAAGAAAATAATAGTAATAATCTGGTCACTCGATCCACGAGTGTTTGGGGGACGCCGCTGTGAGCAATTGGCGCCGCGTTTCACCCACAAAATAAACAGTCAATTCACTTTACAGTATATTCTGTGAAGCGCTTTGAGACGTCTCGAAGACTTGATAGGCGCTACATCAAATGCAATTTTTTTTTAACGTGTGTTTAAAAAAAAAGATTCAGCCCGCTTGCTCTGAGTGGTGCAGGGGAATGATTTCCTGCTGAGTTCAGTTAATAAAGTGATAGCTGGTGTGCCCTAGGATTGAATCGCAACCTGAGTATCCTCAGGGCTGAGTGCCCCTGGGCAAACAGAAGGGAAAACAGACAGAATTCCCTCTCCCGATCCAGGAGAAAATAGCCTTTTAGAAACTGCACCTGGATTAGACATCAGATGATCAGATGACCAGGCTTCACGACAATGAACTTCGTTGTCAAATATCTTACTTGTGGATCTTACCAGCACTCACTGTCCAGGCTCCCACATCTAGAATTGCCATTGAGCGAAGTGGCAGTGACTCACACTCTGTATGAGAGAAAGAGAGCAAGCAATAATAGGGGATTTACACAGAATTACACAGAAGAACGTTATAGCACAGAAACAGGCTATTCGGTCTACTATATATACCCTTGTTTCTACTCCACGTGAGCATTCACCTTCTTCCATACCCTCCTCGGCGCGTACCAGTATTGGACAAGTCCGGTGTTCTACAGCAGGCCCATGGGGTCCGGAGGGAACATTATGCAGAGTTTCATCCAAAGGACGGCATCTCCGACAATGCAGCACACCCCTAGTATGCATTGGAGTGTCAGCTTAGACAACGTGATTCAAAATCCCAACTTGGGGCTTGAATCCACGACCTTCTGAAACAGGGGCGAGAGAGCTACACATGGTGGGATGCGCCAGGCTGACACATGGTGGGATGGGAGAAAAAGCCACGGGAATTTCCTACCGTCAAAATTGTGACACACAAAATATAAAATGGAAGTGGGGTAGAGATGCTGTATGTGGTTTAGGCAGCTGATTGTATCACTGCACGTCTACAAGCCTTGCTAAATTACTTTGCTATTTGTGCTTTAAATCGGTGAGAATTATCTTCAGCAAACTAAACACTGAGGAGTTCACACACTCTCAATTACTGGCTCCAACAGGGTGGTCCACGTCCCACTCGGCAGATTTTCTAAACTGATGAAATGAAGAGGACTGGAGGTTGAGGGGCTGTTCAGGGTCGGCGATCATTAAGCACAAGTTTGACTGTATTTGAGATTAGCTGTTAACACAGACATAACAACGCAGTCTCTGTGGGAATGACAGAAAATGTGTCACTGGCAGGGCTGGCCTTTCTGAGATCAGCTGATAGACTTCCACTTGCTGATTCTGCGGATAGATCTTGTGGTTGTCAGTGGAGGCCTTTTGTGTTTTAACCCTCGCGATCTCAATGACTCTTGAATGTAGGTTTCTCTGAATCCCCCCCAAATAAGGAGTTAACTTCACTGAGACTCGCGTCGCTTCCAGCGTCTAGTCCACACTCCTTGACATTGGGGCTTTCCAGTAATCTGGCAGAAAAGATCCAGGTCTAGATATGAAGTAAAATGAACATGTAAAGTGAATTGACTGTGTATTTTGTGGGTGAAACATGGCAGCCAATTGCGCACAGCAGTGTCCCACAAAAGTCATGGATTGAGTAACTAAATTATTTTTGAGGGGGCTTGGAAAGCGATCCGCCAATCAACTAACAACCGGGTTCCAATTTACTGCTAGGTAAACAGAGGCGTGAGGAAACTTACCTAACCATTCCCGGGCGGGGCGAAACCTTAGGCAAGTTTTCTTACACCTCTGTTTGCGAGGCGAGTGCTCTAACCAATTCTCTGCAGGACTCCTGGAAGCGAAGAATCCAGCACCATTTTCCATGAATTGAGTTATTTGCACTGAGAACGTGATGGGTGTTGTCTGTTTTTTCCCAGGGTGACACCTCATGTTAACAGCGTCAATTGCATGCACTCATCCAGCCGCGGCGCCTATTTCAAGCAGACTGCAGTGAGTCAAAAGGAATTAGCATCTTCCATTACAAGTGAAAGCTTGCCCATCATGTCACAATAAAAAATAAATGCTATTAATTTGCTCATAATTCCTGATGAGTTCGTAAATTATTTTTGCACATTCACTGTGTTATCATCAACCAACGCAGACTGGCTGGGAACCTAATGGTTCCTGGTCTTAGTCATCTGGCTACTGAATACATTCTACAGTGTTATTAAAACGTGTCTTTCTTTCTTCCAGATCGCTTGTGAAGAAGGGAGAGTTATTCTGACCTGTGGTTTACCCTATCAAGTGGTGGGTGTCTTGTCATATCATGCTATTGGTATATGTGTCCGAGTAGAAGGGCTAATAATAGACAGCGGAGTGGGTTACTGGGCTAAAGGTACAAACTGTGCTACCACTCCAGTCTACATAGGTTTTGGAAGGGCTGCTGAGAGCGGAGAGGGCTGTGGGGAAGACGAGAGCAGTTTCACCCAACTAAGCACAGGGTGTCAGGAGAAGTTGAGCGGCCTGCTCTCTGGCCAGAGGACTGATTCAGACTGGCGAGCGTTGGATTTGCCGAGGGTTGGGATCATGGAGACACTTGGACATCACAGACACCTTAGGCACTCAAAATTCAGTCATGGCAGTGATAAAATGGACCCAAAATTGAATAGAATTACCTCTGTAAAGTTCTCAGGATAATAATAATAATCCTTGCATTTGATAGAGCACCTTAACACGTCTTCAAGACGTATGAAAGTCTTCAAGGCCGGTCTCAAAACCTTTCTCTTTGACCGTGCCTTCAGCTCCCCTCTCGACTCTCTTCCCCCTCCTCGCTCCCTCCCTTCCCTCCCCTCACCCTGACCATTTCCCCCTCCTTGCTCCCTCCCTTCCCTCACCCTGACCATTTCCCCCCTCCTCGCTCCCTCCCTTCCCTCCCCTCACCCTGACCATTTCCCCCCTGCTCGGGTCATGACCCAACTGTGCAGCGCCTTGGGACGTCCTCCTGACGTGAAAGGCGCTTTATAAATGGAATCTTGTTGTTGTTGTTGTTGTTGTATATAATATGAACAACAATTTGAGTTTATCATAGCACCTTATATCCGGGTAGCACTTAACAGCAGAGTGGCTTGAAGCCAAGATGGAGGGGAGGGGGGGTGGTTATCTGATGTCTCTCCCATTGGTTGAGTGTGTTAAAGGCACTGCTCACTGCAATATTGGGGCATCCATTCAGGCCCTGGTCAAATCCCAGTCAGGGATGGAATTTGCATTACCCATACTCTAGGGTCCCCAAGCCTCAGCCCTCGCCAACCTTCACCTAACTCTCCCAGATGAGATCCCGAGGCACTAATTTCTGCCAGTATTGTTTTAAAAGGAAGAATCATGTAAAGGAAAAAACATAGTTTTCCCTTGAGCTTTCTCCGTCATCACAGTCCTTCTCTCTTGTCCTTCAGCTGCGATCCCAGGTGGGTGAAGGCCGGTGTTTCTCTGTGAACTGCTCGGATAAAGCCAAGGACCAGGCCATCAAGGTGCTGAAACACTTCAACGTGCAGGTGACACCTGCGGACATCTTCAGCCGCTGTCAGGTAGGAGTGCGTGTGGGCGGGGAATGGAACGGGGGAGGCTGTCTGGGTTGGGAGAAGGGGGTGCGGAAACCCACTGATGAATTCTCTGGGGGGGTTTCAAGTGTCTTGTCTCCAAAGTTTTCTTCCTTAAGCCAAATGTTTGATGCACAAAGCTGGCGTCTTGAGAGGCAGAAACAACACCACTCTCGAGAGGCTTGTCACCACTGTAATGTCCGTGCACAAAGAGAGACCGCCAAGCCGTGACTAACAGCAGCAAATGTCCAGAGGCTCAGGCCTTTGGACGCGTTTGGTTACGGAGCAACCTTTCAGCCCATCCCTTGTCAAAGCAACTCGCTTGCTAGTAGAGTAGACAGGAAGTCATTGCTAGCTTTAAATCCGTGTGTGTGTGTGTGTGGTGGAGATGTTGAATGGGATTACTTCATTCAGGAAAATGAAGTGGAACAGCTGCTTCATAGCAATGTGTGTCACAGCGCGAACAGCAATGTCAAGTGTGTGGGCAGCAGTCAGCAACCCGCCTTGTCAAAGTGTCACTCTGCATGCCACGGGCCACTGCTATCTGTATCCGCTGGCTCCTGTCTTTCTGAGTGACAGGAGAGGGCACGTACGTGTTTGAGGACTGGAGTGGAGAGATATGGTGCTTTTGGCCGGTTTAACTCACGAAAAAGTCCTTGCAATCCTAAGGCATGGGTGTTCGAATCCTTTTTGTTTGAGGTGACTGGCACTTTTCAGATCATGTGTACAGATCAGCTTCCAGCGGCTGCTGGCTGGTGCCAGCTGTGGAGGCGGGTGCCTGGCTGGTCTGCTGGTGGATGTTGTGGAGTGGTACAGCCTGCCTCGCGCCCTGATCTTGAATTTACAATACAATACAATCCCTGCGAAGCGTTTTGAGACGTTTCAACAACCTGATAAAAGCTCTGCACCAAAGTTCAAGGATAAATATATAAATATTAATTATACATTTTGTAAGCTACAACATTTTGATGTCGGAGCATGTGGGCAGATTTGGGGACACAGATTCTTGACGCACACTGTCTTGTGGAAGGTGATACAAGTGAGAGCAATGTTACTCTCTGGGCTTTAACATAGTTAAATTGAAGTTAGATGTTAAATGTTCCTTACACCCAACCTCTGACTGCCATTAATTACCGAGTGTTTAGCCTCTCTCTCTCTCTCACACACACACACACCTGCTGGGAGCCTTTTTTTTGGCACTGTTTATACAGTAGTTCTGGGTTAGAGGACAGCAGCCTTAACAGGTAGGAAAAGACAATTGAATGATAATGATTGACCTTGGCAAGCATCCCTCTGTCTCTGTCTCTCAGTTCCAGAGTTCAATGAATACAGTCTCCAGGCAAAGTAGCACTTACACTAGAGATGACTACATGTGGAGTAAGGAAACTTGGCTAAAGTTTTGCCCTGCTCGGGTATTGAACTTGGGTCTTCTCGCTTGCGAGGCGAGAGCGCTAACCACTACAGAGCTGCAGAGCGCCTCAATGAGACAGGTATAAGCGGTGCCGTTTTATTCGGGGTAAGATCTAAATGACGATCTCTTGCAGTGAGACAACTGTGGTCTGATGATGATAATAATAAAAATAATAATCATTGCATTTAATATAGCGCCTTATCATGTCTTCGAGACGTCTCAAAGCACTTCACAGAATATACTGCAAACTGTAGTGTAGCGGTGCGGGTTCACATTTCCCCTCTTCCTGCTGCGCTCTATGTGTGCTTTGCTGCAGGACAGGCTACATCAGCAAACACTCCATTGTGGTCGCTGATGCCTTATAGCAGACCCAGGTTTACGCACCGTTGCTTGAGAATGAGGATTTGCCTCCCCCCCCCAAAAAAAAAATCAGCCCTTAACAAAGTTCAAGCTGCAGGCTTGGCTTGGCTCAGGTCAGGTCAGGTCGGGTCAGGTCTCTCCCAGGTTTGAAGCTCTGACATCAGGAACACACCAACTGAACAAACAAGATCAGCGTTAGCCACCTGAAGTCACAGAGCCCCAAACCAGACCAATCGCCCTCACTGTTTCACGAGCGACAGTAACTGGGGGCTGAATAGTGCCCATTAGACCCAAAGAATATCGGGGAAAATATGTTGATAATATTGAAAATATGTGGATAAAATATGTTCAAGCTCTCCGAGACGCTGGTGAGAAAGGTGCTGTATAAATGCGTTGTTGTTGTTGATAGAATTTTTACACCTGATTCATGCAGTTCTGATTATGTTATTTTATTTGTAGTATTACTTTGAATGGAAGGAAATTCAAAACTGCTGTGAAGGGGATATTAGTGCGGAATTGGAAAACGTTTCAGTCACTGATAATTTAACTTCCTGTGTTTATACACAAAATGTAATAATAATAACACTTGCACTTGATATAGTGTCTTTCGTGTCGGAGGACGCCTCAAAGTGCTTCACGCGATTTTACTATAGCGTGTAGTGACTTGGTATTTTGTAGGCGAATGCAGCAGCCAATTTGGCTGCAACCAATGCAGTCAGATCCTTTATAGTTTTGGAACAAGACACTCGCAATAGAAAAGGTAAAGAAAAGAGCAGCACGACTGATTCCAAGACTGCTGGGGGTGGGCTGGGAAGGAAGATTAACGAAATTTAAGCTTCACAGTCTCAAAAGAAGAAGTTTAAAGGAGACCTCACCAAAACAAATACAATATTGAATGGCGTAGATCAGGGGAAGCCCAGACTATGACATCAAAGTGACCCGAGAGGGAGCGGAGGGCATAAATGATAGGAGAAAAGTACAATTTGAACAGATAGCATGCAAAATCTTCACTTGGCGTGCAACAACCAAGCAGCCAGATATTAGGCTAAACACTGGAATTATTTCCACTACAATTAGTTACACTAACAACAACAACTTGCATTTATATAGCTCCCTTCATGCGGGGAATTGAACGTGGGTCCTCTCACTACGGGACTCCACAGTAGTAGTGACGGAGTAGCATCTACTTTTAAAGCCGCAAATGGAACGAATTTTAAATGTCTCCTTCGGTTAATTTGGGGTTGTTTCTCAAGAACACTCCTGGTCGCAAGGCAGCTTTACTGCCAGCTGTGGGGGAGGCCGGGGTGGGGACAGAGAGAGAGGGAGAGAGAGAGAGAGAGAGCACACTCCACTTCTGATCGTGCGCGCTGTTTTGTGCAAGCAAAGCACAAAGCACATCTGGTACGCCCTGGCACTTTGCCACAATGGCACTGCTCAGGCCCATGTGCTGTTCAGGGAGCTGCAGTGGCTGGTATTCCAAATGCAGCACATCCAGCTCCACAGTGCTCCGTCGCACCCCTCCTTCAGCTCCCGCCGCTCCCCCCTCCCCCCACTCCTCCCGCTTTTCCTTTAATGAAATAAACTGCTGCTGATGGGAAGCTCAGTATCCATGGCCTGGCGGCTTGTCAAAAACGTAGTCACTTCCCGCTTGTGGAGAAGGGCCCCTATGGTCTCCAGGCAGTGCTGTTAGACTTCTCAGAAATTAGCATGTGGCTAAGCTCTGGCAACTAGCACCTAGACAGCAAAGCCTTTCACATAGGAAAGTGTCTCAAAGCGCATCACAGAAACAGATGGGAGCTCGAGCAGGAGAATGTATGTGGGTAGGAGGCCGGAAGCAAAGAGAGAGGTTTTTAAAGGTGGGTTTTGGAAGCTGAGAGAGAGCAAGCGAGGGGGAAGAATTTAAGGAGAGAGTTCTAAAGTGGCTGAAAGCTCATCCACTGATGTTGGGGTGCACGTGATTCAGACCCGTGTTGGCAGAGCGGAGGGAGAGGGTAGAAGGTAGTAGATCACAGAGGGAGGGTGAACCCTCTGGTGCCCAGGGCTGTATCTCTGTACCTCGGAATGAGTGAGAGGGAAGGAAAGTGTCAGCCGGGTCCCTAGTACTGATCACTGTCCTGTAAATACAATAGAATACAATGCAAATTACATTTGTATAGCGCCTTTCATGTCGGGAAGACGTAAACCCACAGACTGTGTATTCTGTTGCATGTATGTTGAGAACAGTGCAGGGCCAGTTCGGGGTCTACTGTAATGTCCCCTTGGTTGCACAGCCACAGTAATCCATCGAACAGTTAATGCCTTTGAGAAGGAAGAGGAGAAAATTGTCTAAAAGAAACCTCAGAAATGTCACTGAGTCTATCTTTAAAGATCTCTAAATCTAGCAATCTTTCCACTGCGTCACGTCAGAAAGATGCGGGGAACAGTTTGCTATTTCTAGCCGTAGCCATTGCCCTGATGGCTGGAACGTGCTGAGACGCCAGTTTCTCAAGAAAGGGCATTCTTCAGCTGTGTCCGAGCTGGTGTGGCTTTTGGGCTGGAGGTGAACAGTTCAGGGCTGGAAACGAGAAATCGTGCAGAATAGCACCCCTCACACAGAATAGCGTCACAGAGAACTTGATAGTTGTGTAGTCAGGGGATGGGGCGAGTTTGACCGTCAGTACAGTTGAAGAGGAAGGTGGAGTGATTGAGGGAGAGTGTTCCAGAGTTTCGGGGCGTAGTGGCTGAAACCCCGGCCGTCGGTGATGCAAAGGAGGGGGCAAGGGACAAGCAGGAGGCCGGAGCTAGTCGAAAGGAGGTGACGGGTAGTTGATTGGGAAATACGTAGGTCTCAGAGGTAGGGAGGTGCCAGGGCATGAAGGGATTTGAAGATGAGTGTGAGGATCTTGAAATCAGTGTCAGCCTGACTCAATTGATAGACTCTCGTCTCTGAGTCAGATAGATGGTTGTGGGTTCAAGCTTTACAACAGCAGTTCGAACTCAGAGACAAGGCTGACACTCCAATGCATTGCTGGATGAGACACTGCCTTGCTGGAGTTTTGCTGGGCTTCAGATGAGGTGTTCAACCGAGATCCCATCTGCCAAGTATCCTGGCCGACAATCCTCCAGATAAAATATTTTTTTCACTTCACAGCTGTTTGTGGGACATTCCTGCACACAAATTGGCTGTCGTGTTAGCCTAAGAAATACACATTTACTACATTTTACAGTAAAATCTTGT